ATCCCTACTCTCTTGTGTAACATGCTTTATTTTAAAGCCTAACTTTTAAAAACACTGTGGAGATATTACTAACAACTGCTTTTATAAAATTAATTTGACATTTCGATATATATATACATCCTTTCCCGTCATTTTTTTCTTTTAATGTTAACAATGCTAAACATAAAAAATAACAAGCTTATAGGAACATTAAAATGTCATACCATATCCAGTCAAACGTTTGTCCGTATTTTATATATATTTATAATATATGTCCTTGTCGCTGTTGGGAATATTTCTTTCCCACTTTTAAAAACTCTTTCCATTTATTTTAAGGAGCCGAAGAACATCCTTTGAAAAGCAAGGAACGCCGTGATTTCAGGGGGTTCCCTTCTCTCCCTCCCCCTCCGCCTGGGTATATTTAATTCGGCCGTCTAACTGCTGCTCCTCCCGCCCCCCGTAGTGCCCGTATACTTTGGATTGAACGTTCAAGTCCTTGGATGCCGAGGCGAGACCTCCCTCGTCCCTTCCGACTTTCACGCGCGATTGCCTGCCCTTCTCCCCCGTCCCTCCCCCCAACGCAGCCACCCCGAAGCCCGGCCGAAGAGGCTGGCCTTTCTCTCACACCGGCCTATCCACGGCGTACTGGCAGGCGCTCAGATTGGAGGCTGGGGTCTGGACGCTGGCGTAGCCGAAGCTGGAGTGCTGCTTGGCTTTGAGTCTCAGGCTGGCCAAGCTAGAGTTACACGTGTCCCGGTAAACGTAAGGGGGGGTTGGCGGGGCATAGGGGCAGGCGGGCGTGGGCACGGCCGAGTTGAGCGAAGGGTTGCTCAGGTTGTTCAAGTTATTGAGGCTGTTGAGGCCGGAGCCCGGCACGCCGGTGACCGCGGAGGGCACCATGCTGGAAGACATGCTCATGGACGAGATGGAGTTGGGGGGCGAGAACATGCTCTGCGAGGACAGCGGGTTGACGTTCATGGAGTTGAAGAAGGGGAAGCTCTTGGTGGAGAGCGACGCGGAGGTCAACCCCTTGGCGGCCCAGTTGTTGTAGGAGTAGCCCGGGTACATGTCGTCGTAGGGCTGCATCAGCCCGTTGAATTGCGGCCCGAAGCCGTTCTTACAGAGTTCCGCCTGCTGGTTCCGCTCCCGCTTCCGCCACTTGGCCCGCCGGTTCTTGAACCAAACCTTAAGGAGAGGGAAGAGAGAGGGGGAGGAGGAGGAGGAGGGAAACAGGGCGAAGGAGAAGCTGGTCACTGCGGGGGAAGCCAAAGGACCCCGCGCACGCGACCCCCAGCCCTCCGCGACCCCCGCACTACGGGGCTTCCCGGGCTCCCTCAGCGAAGGGAAGGGGCAAGCCAGCTCCACAGACCAGGAGGCCGCCCCCCAACTTCTTCGGGCGCCGCCCTCTCCCCCTCCCCTCCCCCTCCCGCTCCAGCCTCGGACTTCACTCATCCAGGTTTTTATTTTACCGAAAATCTTTTTAGGCCGCCTTAAAAGAATGTAGGCCCTTCAGCTGAGCCTGAACAATAAACGCGAGTTGAACGGCAATCTGCACTCCTAGGCCGCCTCCTGACGCGGCCAATAAAGCCCTGCAAGGCTCCTTTACGGGAGGTGGGGAGGGGGGGACTTCGGAAGGGCTGCCCGAACGTGAAATGTACCGTTATTTATCTAACAAGAGCCCCTCCTGGCCCTCCCATTTTTCGAGAGAGGGGCACCACTGAAAATCTTTGCAGCCTCACAATCATAAGAGATGGTTCTTGCCCTCAACAAGATTCCCTTCCAAGGAAGCCTTAAGCAACCTGCCCGGAAAGTGCAAACCCCTTTTGCCTCAACGTGTAGGGGCCTGGGCTCCAGGGTTAAGGCCCAAGCCCCATGAAAGAAGCAAGGCTCTGTCTGCAGAGACCTACCCCTGCGTCAGTCTGAACACCTTTTCCTTGGATTTTGCTGAGGTCAGCAAGGTTTACTTGCATGGAAAACCTGTTTAGCCTAGAATGTTGCACCTTTCACGCAAACTGGCCCATGGAGCAAACAGAGTTTTGTTTCTCCGGCTTTATTAACATATTTATAGCTACATAAACAAACCAGTTTACCCTGGCATTTACATTCCAGTAATAAGCACACTGGAGCTGGCCTACGCTGAATCTAAGAAATAGCTTCTCCAGAGAGGGGCCAATCTCCTTCTCCTTAAAAGGGACAAAAATGCTTATCCGAAGCTGACTTTGAGACGAGGATGACTTTGTTCCTAGCCCTGACAAAAGATCTGTTGGCGTCCGAAGGCAAAGATAATTCATAACAAATTCTGATACCTAGCCAAGAAAATGTCCTATGTATCTACTGGTTGGTTTTCACCCCACGTTTGTGCCATCTCTTCCTTGCTTCGCAGCCCATTCATTTTGTTCCGAGAGGTAATCTTGAACAAAAGGGAAGAGCTCATTTTTTCCACTCCACACCTCAAAGTTCCCCCTCCCCGACCTCCAAAAGTCTAACGCAGCAAAGTTAATCTATTTTAACACCTATTTTCTACACAGGAGAGGAATAACGATTCTAATGATTATATTAATAATCCAGGAGTAGCATGAAATTTAAATCCGGTCAATGTTTTCTCTCCAGCAACCAGGAAAAAAAGTCAAAATAAATATCGGGCAGGAAACCTTCTAATAAATCTTTACCTTAACAGCTTGTAATAGCAGTGACTTTCTTTCATGTGCTAATCATTAGTAGACCTAAGCCACATCCACCCCAGCTTCTCCTCCTGTGCTTTTGGCAAAGTTTGCTCTTTCACAACGGGCGAAGGACGGGCGCCTCCACCACGAAGACAAAGGCGAAAGGTTTGCGCCTCCTTCTCCAATCCACATCCTCAGTAGGCCTGCTCTGCCAACCCACCTCCTACGACCTTAGTATGTGGATTCGAATTGTCGCTAGTCTCCCCTTTTGTTGACATGCAGCAAATCTCCCTCGTAGCTGGACCCTCTGCTCTCCCCCGCCCCACACCAGTTGAAGCAAAGGCCAGCGTTTGTAATGCCCTACATTCCCCAAACACAGAGATGGCTGCTCCAGATTGCAGACAACCTGCAGGGGCAGATCATGTTTCTGCCATCTACAACTGAGGACCGAGCATCTTTTCAGGGCCTCAGGAGCTGAGCCACACACTTCTTGAGCTGGGGATCGGTCTGCAGCATCATGGACAGCTGAACTGCTGAAGCTATGTTGCTCAGTTTTGAGCAAGACCTGCTTCCTTAGTCCAAACTGCATTTCAGGCGCTTGGGACGACAACCCAACACATTCTTATTATACAGTAAACCATCCTAGATGTGGTTTACTGTTGATTAGGGCCACCATCGTAGCACAACTGGAAATCTGAGTACAATTGCATCGCCCATCAGAACACAAAAACACAGAGGAAACTTGCCTAGAACCACAACAGCAGCAATAGCAGAATCTCAAGAGCAATAATCCTATTAGGACGAACCAAGATGTCGCAAAGACCCGGGGAAGGTTGCTCAACACCGCATTGTTTCTGAGAGGGCAATTCTCTAAGTGGAGGACTTCAGTCCAAGATCAGCTTAAATGCAAGCATTCCAGTTTAAATGGATTGTACGACAAGAATTCCGGGATAATTGTCTGGGGAAGCCTCCTTATACTTTTCCATATTTTTCCCAGTTGCTTGTTTAGTTCTGCTAAAGGTTGAGCCCCAATGCCTCCGATTTTTAATTTAAAAACTTTGGGATGTATATAGTTTCCGAGCTTTGCAATTAGAAGGGATTCTGCAAAAGAATAGTAAGGAATGGATTTCGTGTTAATTTAATCTAGGAAAGACTTTACATTGGAAATGCAACATTTTATCGGAGATATTGGTCACTTTCTCACAAAACAATGTGACTTTCCACTCTACACCTCAGTTCCAAAGCCTTGGAAGAAGAAACACGGAGTAAGTATGGCTGAATTCAAAAGTCGTCCCTTTGCACAGCAACTGTTTTAGAGTGTCTTCCTCACTCTCTTCCAAGAAAACAACCGGGTTGGTTTAACCCCCCCTTTTTTTAAAAAAAAAGCGTTCCTCTTTTCTGTGTGTGTGTGTGTGTGTGTGTGTGTGTATAAAACAACAATAGTGACAACAATGAAACAAGCTGAGCTCTGCTTCTCTCTCCCCTTCTTCATTTCACTGGCTTTCACTGAACCCCTTGGAATGAAATTCAAAGGTTCACTAACCAACTTTCCCGACTCCAAACAGTAGTGATTATTCAGACTCTACGTAGCTTTAGAATCACTAATCCCATCGAATTAACTCTACAGTCTAGAGAGACCTATCCACGGACTGCTGCCTAAAACTTAAACTCGATTCACACAGGGAAAATTCGAGCGGCACCGGATTCCATCGGATTTTCCTACAACGAATGGTTTTGAGCTACAACGAATGGTTTGAACTACAGAAGTGCCCCCTTCTCCTTCTTCTTTGGCGCACTGGGGAGGCTTCCCCCCCCCTCCCTCCGACTGAGCTGCCTGATCCTGCCGGATTTTAGGGGCTTTTAGATGGAGCCATAAATCTAAGGCGAGAAGCGGGACGGGGAATAAGCCACCAGAGTTGTGAAAGTGGAGGGAAAGGAGGGAGGGCGGCGGGGGGGGGGGGCGAGAGTCTCCGGAGAGAGGCGGCGCGGGGGGCGGGGGAGGGGGGCCCCGGCCGGACTGGTGGCAGTGGGGGGGCGCG